CTACTCCTACTACTACTACTACGACGGCGAATTGCAACTAGGAGCCGAAAGCATGCCCAGAGTTGCAGTGCAGCTCTTCAGGAACCTTTAAAGGCCTAAGCCCCAGCCTTAACGCCCTGACCGATCCCGTGCGGCCTTCTCTTCTTGTTCAGGCGCTGCCCGGTCGCCATAAAGTGCCAACAGGCAGAGATGTCCGACCTAGCGCTTCGAACCCTTCAACGGCTACAGTATAGACATGGGGATGACGATGATGATGATGATGATGGCTCAAGGAACCCCTCGCGGGGGCTCAAGACGGAGAGAAATTCAAACCTTTCTGTTGCCACGCACATCTTGAAGCTTCGAGATGTTGACTCCCAAATGCTGCTTGCTTGGGTGCCCTGAAACTCAGTTTTGGAAGACACGGTGTATGGAGTCTCTCTTCAAGAACAGCAAGATTAACCATTGTTAGGGCTTGTCCTTTGTACGGACTGCTGAGGTCGCTAGCATCTGCGACACTTTTAACAGATATTAACCCGCGCCGCGGGGCGCGTGGTAGATCTTCCAGTCGGTTTCGGCCTAGTTCAGTAGCCTTTGGCGTAGGCTCCATATCCCAAAAGACACAACCCTTATAGCATGTCTTTGCTCTCGATCCACTCACTGTTCAGGGCAGCTCTGAGCAGCCCTACTTCAACACGATGCCAGGGATGGTCGAAAACTCACGAAGGTCCGGAGGCTGTGCTCGTTGCAAAAGCCCACCTAGGCCTAGACCACCGAAGTTCGAACAGGGCCAGGCAGCACCAACATGTCATCAAGCGAAGGTTTCAGTGATTCAAACAAGCTGCATGGTCTTCTCCCACCAGCCTCAGCAGGGTAAGCGGGCACTGCATGGCCCTCGCTTTCTGAAGCTTCTTGCTGCAAGACCCCGGGGGTAAGTGGCTTGTCAGAGTTAGAGGGCAGACTTGCAAGCTACTCCTCCGAAACTCGTCTCTCAGAGTTATCAAGCCAACTCCACCTCAACAGATATACATGCTCATCAGAGTTCATACGTAGTTAAGCACAACAAGCTAACTTCGAAACTCACCTCCAGCCTTTAAAACTATGAAAAGCCATGCTCAAAACATGCAGTCTGGGGCCTTCTGCAGCCAGCAGTCCCAAACAAGCGAAGCATCTCAAAACCCAACGCCTCAAAAACTCAAAAAGGTCCGGAGGCTGTGCTCATTACAAAAGCCCGCCCAGACCACCGAAGTTCGAACAGGGCCCGGCAGACCTCCTGAATCCTCTGAGCCCTCCTTGCATGCCCAGAAGCTCGGCTTGGGAGGGCCAGGGTTCGGCATAAAAGCAATGCGCTTGGGATGCACACGCAGGTGGCCGTTGAGGTCAGTAGCCAGGAGCAGCATAGCAGCATCCTTGGCCGAGGGGTTCTAAATTTTAGTGCGGGTTTGGGCTCAGTGGATGGAGCCGCAGAGCCTTCGAGGTCCTTCAAGAGCATGGGCATTCGCTTCACTGCTTGTGCTTCTCCGTGACGTTGTGTGTGAGGACCGGGATCTATGGCTGGCTGGCTTCACCCCACCATTTGTTTCCTGTTGAGTACGTCTTTGGCGCATATCTGGCATCATAACTGTCACTTGTATCTGGCATCGTACAAGACTACCAGGAAGCACGAAGCAGATGCAGGTTTTTTGACAGCAAAGAGCCACAAAAAGCACTTCCTTGTGTGTGCGTATGCATGCATGCATGTACATGGTCGTCATCATCTTTGGGCCAAGGATGCTCTGTCATGGGCGCACTGCGACCACGGACGTCAACCCGGATGTGCACCACTTGGGATGCTCGGGGGAACTTAATCACTGTACCATAAACAACTATGTGTCTAGTTTTGCATGTTTCTCTAGACTCATCCTTCACCAACGCATGAAGATCCAAAAGCAGGAAGAACCTGCCAGTGGCCTGGCTGGGTTTTGCTTGTTTGTGGGCATCTTCAGTTCTAAGCTTCAACGAAACACGAAACCCTGCACATCACAAAGTAGCTACGCGCCCGGCAATCCTGCCCTACCAGTACCACAGCTCAGATGAAGTCCGAGCGCAAAAGGTGTTTAAAGAATATACATGCTGCACCACATATGCATTTAAATGAAGACAGCAGCGAAGACAGCAAAGCAAATACAAGGATGCAGGAGGGATCGCAGTAGATTTGGAATCAACCCCTGCAGGCCGGGCCGCGTTCTCCGAGGCCTCACCATCCTCCCAAAGGTAGTTCCCTCGCGTGTCAGCAAGCATTTGGGACATGAGTTGTAGGACGGTAGGATTGCGCAACATCTGAAAAATCATGACGGCGCAGGAGTAGAAACGGCAAGTTAAGGAATGGTTTAACCATAAGAGAAAAAGTCTCACCGGTAGCAGCTCTTGTGCTGCCTTGTTCTATAGATGGCGCAAGTGGTTTGAAGCCGGTAATGTCAGCAGACGTAGACGTGACTGTCAGTGATGGCGGCGATGCAGGTGCTGGTGCTGGTGGCGGCGGTGATGGTGGTAGATGAAGTACTAGTAGCCGTAGAGGTCGTCGTCGGCAGCAGCAGGAATGGTAGCAACGCCCATGGTACGTAAGGTGATGTGGTGTACTGCGAAAGTGAAGTGCCTGAGCCGCTTCAGTCGCTAATAGCAATGGTGATGATAGTAGGGGAAGTTGCCGTGTCCATTGCCCATAGCGGTGTGGGTGATGGCAGTGATGATGATGATGGTAATGCGACTGGTCATGGAGCCGATGATGCCTCTGAAAGGGATCTGGAATCACAGATAAACTTGTTACGAGTGCGATGACAACGACGACCGATGCTGGCGACTTCGGTGGTGATGATGAGTGTGCTGGCCATCGTGAGGCTGATGAGCAATCAGAGGATGTTGGCACACTGCTGCGACTTGGGGTTGTGACGAAGGCAGCATTGCAGCTTGTGACTTTCAAGATGATGGTCGGTCAGGGATGTTCAAGGTCTGACCCACAGGGGGTGTCAGCCTGGAGATTTGGTTACAACCCTCCTCCGACACATCCAAGCGGCGCGCAGAAAAGAGTGTGATCAGGTGACCACCGTGCATCACCTTTCAGACACGAGACGTCACATAGGGTCTTCGTGTACAACTGTACAACTGTTGAGCTCGCTCTGAACCCGTGACAGTGTGTAACAAATCCCGAGCAGTGCATGTTTGTTGGGCGTGCCAGGCCTTGAAGCCTTGCCTCACAAACTGATGTGAGCGAATGACAAGGTTGATGCCCTCGCGCCGGCAGAAAGCCCTTGGTGGGAGCGGATGTTGCGAGGGGGGTCCTCAAAACCCTCTTTGTCATGACCAGGCATCCCTTAGGCCGTAGACTCCAGACGCTTCACAGCGCTCAGGCTAGGGCTGCGTCACGTCGGGTCCGAACTGATGAATCCCTGCGCCCTCTCCGCGTTCCTGCACGGAATGCTTTCATCAACAAGCAGCGAACCCAGGTGCAAGACACTGCAAAGCACCCATACATGTGCATCCGGGGGAAGAACGGGAACCCAAGAACCTTTAAATGCCGATGTCCTCATTCGCATGGACACCGCGAGCCATGCAGTGGTCGGAGTCCTCGGCATCAAACATCATGCGCACGAAGGCTCTCTTACTTACCTCTGCCTTGAATCAGCAAAACCAGATCTGGAGCCTTTTCCACGAACCCTGAATCTGAAGCATCAATTATCGGAAACCGGAACCTTCAATGGGACACCCCAAACCTCAATCCCGACAACCATGCCTGAACAATCGAGGCCCCAGCACTGGGATCCGACCAGAGTGCATTGAGGGCATTGTCGTCCACAAGGGTCTGGCGCAGCGCGGAGCATCGAGCCAGTACTCACGGCTCCGCGAGTAGGGATTGAAGTTCGGCAGAGGATGTGGGGAAAGGACGCTCAAAGGTTGAGCGCGTGGGCTCGCAACTTGGCTGTCTCGGGCGAACTTCCACACGTACTGAAGACTACTTATGTACAACACCATTTCGAAACACCCAACTGCTTCAATTAACCATGGGCGAGTTGCTTTTGAACGGCAAACAACCCTTACTTGCTGAGTTATCTCCGAGTTACAAGTAAAATAGAAAGAGCCAGCCTAGATGCCTAGGGCCTAGATTTCACTTCTCAAATGGCCGGAAGAGGTAATATGCTACGTGCCAAAGCATCACTAACAACCACATGAGAGTTAAAGGCTACCTATTCAGCATGTAAAGATTTCCGCCGCAACCGCTCCGTTGCCAAACAAAAGCAACATGACCATGCATACCTATCCCCGAGTTCCATGAGCCTCTGCCAGCGCCCCAGGAACCCTAAGAAACAAGAGACCTTCGTAAAGAAGCTTCAGCCTATATAGCCTGAAGCCGGAATCAATGTTTTTCCTGTATGAAATAATAATCTGCCCGATGCCCTGGCTTTCCTTACGGCTGCCGCTGCCTGCATGGGTCGCTTGATGTGCTCCAGGTCATGCAATCCCCAGCTACCATCACCTGGGATGTAGAACAGGCTGGCAGGGGCACGCACCCAAATGGTCCTCAATAACTTGTCTTCCCGAGCCACATCAGCATAAACCCCTAACCTCGCCCTTCCTGTCCCGCGCTTCGACCCCGGCCCAATCCGCCGTGGATCACCAGGGCCTCGTGGAGCGGCACTACAGATCAGCGGGTTTTGACGCTCACACTCGGACAAACCTTGCCACGAGATTTAGGGTTATAGGATGCAGTTGGATTCTTTCTTGCCTAGGGTTCTCTTGGGGGCTCCGAGCAGATGTCGGGTCCGTTGCTCACGGCTGCCCGGATCTAGGCTTGGGATCCCTTCATCTGGGAGCCTCCCATCTATTTTCAACACCCAATGCAACTGTTGTGATAGAGCCCTCGCGCTGTACCGCAAGCAGAAGCATCAGCTATCGATTTTGAGAATCGAAGAGTGATGGGGGATGGCTCATGTATTGGCGGGGCGATGGGAATGATTGGCGGGGCTATAGGGGTTTGGGGTTCCGGAAGTCGTCTCGCAAGCTTTCAACAAGTCTAGCGGCTTCCAAAGAAGGCTTCTGAGCATGCTTCATATCTCATGAGACTGCTTGTAGGATGATGCAAACATACACAAACGAACGACATATCCTCTGGGAATGAGGTGAGTGCTCCAGCGAAGCAGCATTTCCGACACTTAAGTATGTCGGTCTTGCGAGGCTCTCTGTTTCCATGCAAACAGTTTCACTCGACTCCGAGACCCCATGTCACCAGAAACTGCGACCCCTTCAAAACACCGCACAGGGCCCAAACCCGGGCCGCGCCTTGTCTCCAACCAGCGCGCCGATGGGCAGCCAGTCAAACGCGCTGTGGATGGCCTCAAAAACCTGCAGCTACAGGTATTGGGTCGTGCTCTGCCTATGAGTGGTTGGAGCCTGATATTTGGAGTTGAGTTCGTGCATTGAGGAGTTCGAGTGGTTTTTGGCTGCAGAAATTAACGCTTCGGGCTTGCGGTTTAAAATTTGACCCATGTTCTCGCTTTGGAGACATGGCATCTTGCTCCTGCATGGCCACGGCAGGCCGAGGCTAGCGGAGCAGGTTTCAGCAAATTCCGATGACGAATGTGTCTCCAACTGCTCCGTCGTATAAGCACTCTAAGACAAGGTCTTCTCGCAGAGCATCGGGCGGCAGGAAGCCCTACAGCAGCAGGTTGTGCCTGCCTTCCCAGCTGTGCAACTGAAAAAGCAGGACGTCAAGCAGACTTAGTTGTCAACCACAAATCCGTCGAAGGCATGCATGTAACATCTTCAACCAACGAGTCAATAGGCTGGACTCCTGCTGTGCAAGCCCTGAGTTGCAAGCCGATACTCTTCAGAGAACCAACTCGGAAGAACTTTGAGAGACGTTGCCCAAAAGCCAGACCCAGCACTTGTTCAAAATTGCTGTGCTGGCCAAGGATTATCCACGCTCACGGCATGGAACATATCAAGACACCAATGTGCAACTACCCAACATGAGCATGCCTGTTTGTAGAATTTACTCAGGCGCTGCCTTCAGCCATGATGCCGCTGTGGCCTTTCCATATCTTGCCCTGTCGTACCGGTGCAATGCTACAAGTGCGGCGCTAGACAAATCACGACAATGTTCCAACAGTTTCCAGCAGCAAATTTCTTGAGCAAGGAAGAAAAGCACAGTGGCAACGCAACTCATCAAAATTAACGGTATTAATGGTACACTGGGCGTCCATTGAACCCCTGGCAGCTGCAGGTGGCTGACCACGGCATTCCATAAAGCTTTCTGAGCTTTCAGACAGAACGGTGCCGACATGCAGAACGCAGTTCAAGGCCAGTGGCTGCAGCGCAGAGACACTTTGACACATGAACCAGCTGAATTTGAAGGTCCCGCACCGGAGATTGCAACGAACATGTTGGTCGCGCTGGTGCCATTTCGGACAACGTGTTCGTGATCTCCTCCGCTGAAGGTCGGTCATCCTTGTCCACGTGCCAACATTGCTCGATGATGCCTCGCAAGACCTTGGGGCAGTGAGAAATGAGAGGACGCGGCTCCTTCTTCTGGCAGTACATGCGCAGGATCACCTCCGGATCCTGTGTGATGTGGTGGAAAGGTCGACGGCCGGAGCTGATGAAGTACATGATCAGGGCGTAGGAGTAGACGTCGACCTTCTCATTGTACTCCTCGTACCTGACGACTTCTGGCGCCATGTACAAGTAGCTTCCGACGCCGCCTGTCATGCTGTGGTGTTCGGAATCAACTGTGGTCATCATCTTGCTGATCCCAAAATCTGTCATCTTGATGTCCAGGTTTTTCGTCAAGAGCAAATTGAGTGGCTTGAGATCTCGGTGCACGATGGGCACTCGAAAGCCATGCAGAAAAGCCAAGCCACGGCCAATGGCGCAAGACCATTCGAGCATGCGCCACAAGGGAGGGCTCCATGAGGCGGCTTGGTGCTTCTCTCGCATCTTGAGCATGTAGTTTTCCAGGTCACCTCCTTCCAGGAACTCCGTCACAAACATGATGGGATGGCCTGGGTCCAAGCAAGCACCCAAGAATAGCACAAGATCGGGGTGGCGAAGAGAGCCCAGAAGGTCAATCTCGTGCAACATCTCCTCCGTGATATCATCTTCCAGCTCGGCATCCTCTGCTCGCTTCGGCGATGCCTTCTCGACTCCGCCGCCGAACACCATGCTCTGCGACTTTCGCATATTGCTGACCATGTCTGACTGATGCATCTTGGCACACTTCACAACCACAATGGTGCCCTTCCAATTTGCCAAGTGCACGGCACTCTTTAGCGTTTTGCCGATTTGCTTCTTGAGTACGATCTCTTCTGGCTTGAGGAGCCAAAAACTCTCCCGGGCACGTGACTCGAGCTCTTTGCGCTGCGGCTTGGCTCCATGCTCCTCTAGCACTGTCCACACAGCAAGGTTCCCAGCTCGCGAAGAGATGTCCAAAGGGGTTTGGCCAAGACCATCTGTGGCATTGGCTGCTGATCCATGCTCCAGCAGAATGCGGACAACCTCTTGCGCACCTGCGGTGTTGATGCCACACGCAACATGAAGAGGCGTCTTTCCTGAATAGTCGGCGGCATTGGGATCAAGGTTTTGACTTAAAAGCGTCTTGACCTTGAGGCAGTCGCCTGCAGCCGCCGCGTAGCAGAGCTTCATGGTGGCCTGCTGAATGGGGTCCTCCTCCCTTGCCTTCGTGGTGAGGGTGCGTGTGAGAGTGCGACCCAACAAGGCAGGGAGCTGCTCCTCAGTCTCCTCAGCCGAGAAGAGGGACATCATGGCAACGCCAAGTGAGCGGAGAAAAGGAATTCGAGATATTGCTCTCGCCACTCGCCTGAAAACTTGAGCCATTCATCATGGTTCAAGAGTTTCAGGTTTCTGCGCTGCAGACACCCCCTGATCGACACTCACACCGGGACGACTATGCAAGGCTTGCGGCAACGACAATCACATAGTGAAGAACTCAAAAATATCGCAATCATGAACTTCGCAAGAAGCTAGCACGAAGTACCTAACCCTGCCTTAGTGTTCAACAGAGCACTCCGGCCGATTCTGGGAATGCTCCAGCACGGCTAAAGCTGTGGGCTAGGACTAGGAGGCCCCCTGAGTCGAACTCCTCCAGTCCTGTCAAGCAGCGAGTCTCCAGCGCTTCTTCATCCGCTGCTGGCAGTGGTGCCTGGCAAGTCGAGTCGGCGAAATCAGGGTCTAGGCCTGCAAAGGTCAGTATCACCTTCGCATGTTAGCCGAGCTCCAGGCAGGAAACCGAGCTCTCCCATGTTCTCGCTCATATCGCGGAACTCGTGGTTCCCACGAACCAGGTACACCTGACCAGGCGGCGTCTGAATTTGGACTCCGTTCTGTCTGCAAGAACAGTAGGGTTTAAAGGATTTCGGAGATCGCACTCGTCAGTAGGGTTTAAGTTTTGGGGAAGTGCCGCTATGACCGAGGTCACAGGTTGGCGCATTGCCTAGGTCCTTGGCATCGGGCTGGCACCCTACAGCCGGCCTGCTGCGGGTAGAGCACATGCAGTGCGAAGAGCAGGGTCACAACTTCCAACCTTGGTTGCATCGGGCTGTTTCGGGGAACAAGACCCCGGCAAACTTCAATACTCACTCTCCGATACCCAAACTCGGCTCGGTCAGAAGTTTTCCCCGAATGAACCCGCGACCTGGGATCTGAGGCACTGACTGATGCTCGCCTCGATCCACCCAGTCTCCATTGAAGACCTTCGTCTTCAGGCGTGGGTTCGGCTGTAGTTTGGAACTGTCGTGGGCACGAAGCTTGGCGATAACCTGAAGCCCCAAAGACATGATCGGGAGGGCGGTTTCGGACACCTCCTGTTGGCATGGCGCGAGAAAAAATATGTACGTGCAGCCCCAGCGGCGTAAGACATGGTTTGGATGTCCCCACCACCTTGGCACAGCATGCGACTTGTTCAACCAAGAGGCGGCGGACAAGAACACTTAGTGCCACTTCTAGGGCAGAAGGATGTTGAAGGGATAGCTGCAAACTACCGGTTTCCTGCACTGCAGCAGGAAATCGGCCATTACAGTAACCATATGCTTGGCTAAAGTAAAGGATTCGTCGGGGCAGCTGTTGGAATCGGAAGAGAGCCACGATGCTGGACTGCCACGCTGTCAAACCAAGAGGCATAACCACAGCTCTGCAAACCCCGACGACTGCGCCGTTGCCCTGAACCCCGACCGTTTCCACCCGAAATCCCCGAGAGCCCCCCAACGGTCCCTGCTCTCAACTTCCTTGTCCTGGGCGAAATGTGCGGCGAAGGCGCAGTGGTAGGGCTTTCCTTGGACTCTATATACACATTGTGTATTTCGGGTTTGGGGACGAGCACTCAACCAACCCCATATTCGGGCCTCCAAATCCTGAAACGTCTGCAATGGTTCCCGGACACAGATTTCCAGCAGGCTGTTGTGGGACAGGGGTAAGTAGTATTGCTCTGTCGACTTGAGACCTGGGTGTTAATACGACGTAGATACTTGTATATCCACGCTCGGGGCCACCAGGGCAACGTGTCCTCTAGCAACAAGTTCCCGAACGACACTGGCTGAGGCACCAGATCAGCCCTCAACCTCTCTCGCCTCTCTCGCAGACAAGACCAATCTCGGATTGCTGTGCCATGGTTTTCACCTTTGTTTGCCACAGTTTCGCAAGTCAAGCTGATTTTCTTCTTGTCAGTTCTTGCCTTGCCACCTCGCCTCTTGCCACACTTGAGGATTAAGCTGTGCTTGTCGGACTCTCCGTTGAAGGCTTGAAGGCTCTGCCACTTATGCTTTCGTCTGCCCGGGTCTAGCTGCTCGATGCTGAACACTTTCGAGCCGACTCAGCCCGTATGTATCCAGGACTCCAAAGAGACCGAACAGGAGCAGCAAATCGCGGAGCTGACCGTGGATGTCACCGAATACCTGCCGGAACCGGCACCCACGGGATTGCCCCAAGGAAACACCTTGACATTTTGCTTGTTGCAGCTGCACAGGGCTACAGTGGTGTGGGCAGATCTTGATTTATGGAAGCTGCCAGGCCACATGCTTCCGCTAGCCAGTATCGAAGAGTTAACTTCGGTTGAGGTCAGAATGCCCGATCTTGGGCTCGCGGCCCTGGACATCTCCCCAAAATACTATGCAAAGACTCCATAGCTAGCAACACCTCTTCTCAAACTGTTCACAGCCGGCAGGACTGTCTAAGCCGCAGATCCACTGTCCGATGTTCCCCTGGCCGCCTTCGCCGGTGCTCGCACTCGAACGAGAGTGGGATAAGCAGAGCACTGGCGGCTGCAAGCCTCTGCTCAGGAGCTACTACAGTAGAAGAACTGTTGCAGCTGGCGCTCGCCAAGATTTATCAGCACCACCGCTTGCGCCTGCACAGCACCAACACGAGTACTAGATAGAGTCATGAGTCCTCCTCCTCCTCCTCCTACATGCCATCAGCATCAGCCGCCCAGTCAGCGAGCGCCACCACCACCGCGGCCGCCCCCGCCGCCGCGGCCGCCGCCGCAGGGCCACTGCCACCGCCGCCACCAGCACCAGCACCAGCACCAGCCCCACCACATCCACATCGTCAGAATTATTCTCAACAGGATGAGCGTACGAAACGGTTCCGTGTGAAATGCTCCCTCAATGCAGACGGTCCTGTTGATGAGTAGATGTGTATTATACATACATATATATATATATATACACACACACCGCCAGCAGCACGAATCTGCAGCCCGCAAAGCCAAGCTGTGGCTGGCCTTCGCCAGCAGGCAGATCTTGTCCGCCTGTTCCGGATGTCCGAGATGACAGCTCATGTAGTTTCGGACTGTGTAGGGCTTTCAAGGGTTTCCGACTCAGGTTTGAAGATTACGGTTCAGCTGGAACTTATGAAAACTCTTCCATTCTCAAGGCCATTCGGTGGAATATGGGGAGGTGCTCGTGTTGCAACATATTGTAACCAGGGCAATGAAGAAAGGGCAAAATGACTGAGTGGTCCTCCTGCTACGGTGGCATGGACCGTACCACATGTCCTGGACGGATCCACGGGAGAAGTACGTAGTTTCAGCAGCTACGATGAGACGTGACAAAAACCGTGCCCTAGGTAAATTGTCGAATAACCACTCAAGAATAAACTATCCCTGGTGACCTGTCCTACCCACCCCGCGTCGGGTACCTCTGACATTTTCTCGATGGCTTGCTCTCTCCAGCAGCTCTCCGAGGATCCCTCATCTCTAGTCTAGGGTTTGGGTTCAGGGTCCTATCACCCCGCCAGGTCGAAACTGTAGGTCAGTCCAAACATCCTCAGCACCGCAAAGACCAAACTCAAGCCGTTCAGGCCTGTTGTGATTCGCCCTTGCCTAGCAGCTTCTCCAAAGCTGCCCCGTTCGTGAGCCAATAGCGGTCGAGCACGTCCTCACCTCATCACTCTGGCGTTCGGCTAGCATGATGGGGTTTGTTGGCTTTCGGAAATCGAAACCTGAAGCCCCCCTCCTAAACCCATGAAAACCCAAGGATGTTAACCTTGGAGGTCAATGCACGGCGACTTTCAATTCGGACGAGTGTCGGGTGCTTTCCTCCTGAGCAATATCCATCGCTGTCGCAACGACCTGGCCGGAAAAATGTGAGGTTAAGAGTGGGGTGTGAGGCCCCGTCCTTGTCCTTGTTGAAGACTAGGTCTCGGTTCTGGGTTTATAAACCCACATTCATAGTTTTATTCCTGGATTTACAGACACATCTACGATTGACATCTCAGGGCTGGCAAGTGTTCCATGCCCTCACAAGGTGCTGTTGCAGATTCTTGCTTGAACAGGACCTTCAGATGCTACCACGAGGCAGTTGAACAGTCCCGTCGCGAAACCGATCCCCCAAAGCTTTAGCTCAACGCCTAAACCCGACCCGCTGCAAACGGCAGGCCTCCATGGCGGCCTGGTACTCCTGAAGTCCGCAGTTTTCGCACTTTCAGCAATGAGGCTCCTTGTTATCTGGGGTCTCGGGTAGCTCTGGCTTTCGTGGTGCACTCACAGCGACCCCACCTGTAAGGTGCATGGTTTTTGAGACCGAACTCTTTGACACAGACACATCTTCATCATGCAGTCGCGATGCCCGTTCTTGTGGGGATGGCTGGTAAAGCAATGATGACTGTCATCGCCCTAAAGACATCATGACCACCACGACCATGGCATCACTTCTACTGGTACATGGCTTTGGCTGCCGCCTTCCTGTTTGGCACTTGCTTGTATGACATTGATGCCAAGGTTCCGGGGATTGCCGCGCAACAGCGATCGGGCCTCTCCAACCTGGCTGGTAGGGATGCTGACTTGGCGCACTGTGTTGTGGCTGGAGGTGTGGGTTTTGTGGGCGTTGAGGTAATGCACATCCTATGGCCTCCGAATGGGCGTACCGTACGACGAGAAGGGCCGGCAGCCAGATCGTCATGTATCCTAATGGCGCTACCTTCGGTTGGCCGCACTCTTCCCGGCCCAAAACAAAACGGGTCGGACTGCTGAAAAGCTCCATCATTAGCGGTACTGTTTTGACACGAAGTCCCGAACTCTTCTCTGTTTATTGGCGCCCTTAGCATGACCTCAGATTTCATGGCCGGCATGTGCACCAAACGGAATTTGACACTACGGGCTGGCGCGGAACATTTGAAAAAGGGCTCGGTTCGTCCGCCTTCAATGCCATCGAGCCGTAGCATCTAAGTAGACATCTCAAAGCAACTCCCGCCGAAACGATTTCACTGCAATCCTGGCTCAAACCACGACCACGAAACGACATCACCAACAACCAAGCGCTAGCCACCAAAACCGTACCAAGAATAACAGAACAGCGATACTTCTACGCCCAAAAGGGAGCCCAAGGGGCCGCCAACGGCACGAACCTCCGGATCGAGGGTCATGTCCTTGGAGTCGTTCATTTAGGACACATTGGTGCGAAAAAGCTGCTAGGTACGAACGAAACTTCAATAGGAAAGAGCTTCTTGACGTAGGGTTTGGGAGTTTCGACACACACACACACACACGCACAAGCAGGCATGGTTTGGGAGTTTAGGGTGTTGAGCATTTTTGCTGCTCGAGGTTCATCGGCGGGAAGATTCAAACTGAGCTGCAAGTGCTTGAGGCGTGGAAGCATGTAGCATGAGATTTGAGGATCATGATGAAATGAGACAAGGTGCAAGTCTACGCGTGTGTGGGTTCAAATATTGTTGTTTTTGAGTCTGGAAGTTTTGGAAGTGAAGGTTTACGGACAGTTGACAGGTTTTCGTACGCCGTCTAACAGTCTAACACAAGCGGAGATAGTTCGACTGTATACTACGTGCCAACGCCGTCAAACTGGTGACATCTGGTGACTACAAGGACCTTGCTTCCCTCGAGAGGGGATGAAAATCCTGCATCTTCTCAGAAGCCATGCTCTCGCAATTCGGACACAGCCATGGGATTTGAGGACCTGAAGTATATAGGAAAAAGGGCACAAGAGGCTCGTAGGAATCATCGTTCCATCGATCTCACAAGGCCTTTGGCATTCTCAAAGTCCTGAAGGCGTGCGCCCCAACCGTGAATATCAGCCCAGGATCCCGCAGCCCCTCGAGCCTAACCCTGGAAGAGCCCGCCACCTCTCCGAAAGAGCAACTTCGCCAATCACACCCTCAATCCCTGTCTCAATGTAGAATGTAGAGCTGGGCGCTGCATTCACCGCTTCCGAGCCCCTGCGAAAGCGATGAATCCATGAGCATTCAGTGCAGGCCAGGCAGCGATTGAGGGCGGGGAGCAGGGTTTTTTGATGTCTGATACTCTAAGTTGAAGCAATTGGGGCTTTGGACAATTTCAGTTCCTGAGCTCCGATCGCAACCTATCCTCAATCTGGTTAGATTTCGGGATGCTGTGCGGATGCTATGTTGGAAGCCTCGCGAAAGGTTGAGATTGGGCGTGCAGGGTTCGTGTCAAAACTCACTGCCGGGGGTTGCCATGGTCACCATATGTGCGGAGCCCAGAACACCCTCAAGCTTGCAACTCTGTTCAAACCAACTCCTTGCACCCCTTGTTCTCCCGTTTTGACCGATGCCATGTGAGAATGAATCCCCTCTTGAAGCGAGAGCTGGCCCAAGGCCCTGCAAATGAAAGTCAGTGAGCCCCCCCAAGGCTGCGGCACGATGTCGCTATCGATGCCCTGCAAGGAGCCAGCTGTCGCTCCGCAAATGGCGGTGAAGCCCGGCTAGGGCTAGCGGGTTTTAACGGCTCCGCCGGGACCAGGTCTTGCTGGACTAGTTCCTTTTTTGCATGTCCAGACCCATACGTAACATAGCATGTAGATCCATCTCAGAGCAAGAGTCATTGGGATTCAGACTCCAGACCTCGGCTTGCGCGTCTACTCACTGATACGTTGTCGACGGCATAGTGTCTCCTATTCAAAACCCATTCCGAAGAATCTTGCCCCTCTGGGCTTCTATGTCGAGTCCCAAGCTGGCACCCATATTATAGTAATATATATATATATATATATATATATTTTTTATAGTAATATATATATATATATTATAGTATTATATAGTATTATATAGTATTATATAGTATTATATAGTATTATAGTATTATAGTGTTGCCGCCTGCTTTGGACGAAGGGGCGTTGGAAGAAACGCCGACTCGGCGCGCCCGTCTAAGACTACACGCACTCCTCGAGGACAGCAGGAAGACCTTTCAAAGAATTTTGGGGAGGAAAACGGGCTTCCTTCAAGCTGCTTCAAGTGCTGACTTCTGGGGCTTAAGGACTGGTGCTGGGGAGGCCAAGGCCTTCGGCCAGCTGAAGGAGGTGCCGTTTCCGGCTTTGGCTGCAGGACTAGTTCGTCATTGCAGGTCAAAGCATCTGCTCTAGAACGATACAGGCACACGGGGCCCACAAAATCCAAAGAGAAACGCACGTCGTCCTCGGCGAGGGCCGTGGGAATGGCCCTTAACCTCTGCTGGGGCAGAAGGAGCGCGTGCCGAGCTTCGGGTGAGTTTGGGGGCTTGCTAGGGCTTCCTGGTCTTGGACTTCAAGACTTGAGCGATTTAGGGTTAGCCAGGGCTCGATGCGGTTCAGACAGGGCGGCGGGTTGAGGACCTTACATTTGTTCAGGTACATTGAACGGCTGTTGTTTGGGTTTGTGATGTTATAGAAGCTATGGCTCGTTTGTAGCTTTTCGTCACAACTCGAGGTCGTACTGCACTTGTGCTTGCGGGTGGATGCATCGGGACTCAAGGTTCACTGTTCAGAGCCTCAATTTAAGGGGTCTTTCCTTGCAGTTTGTTCCGTCAATCGTGCTGCACAAGCTCTACCTATCCTTCTAACCAGGGTACCGTGTCCACGATGTCCCGTATCGAGAGCGTCTGAGCCTGGATCAAGGTGGCGAGTGTCACGAGCTCCAATCGTCCCGGTATCGGAGTTTCCGAGACTGAGGCCTAAATACTCGGCGGATGATAGGATCGCTATCTTTGGGACCAGATGAAACAAAACATGCTCCAACTGGATCAGAAATCGAAAGCCTCACCCTGGGTTTAGCATTGAGGATTACGGCCTCTCAGCGCTTGTTAAAACTCTTGAATACACGTGTCTACCGAGGCTGACGCCGTCAAGACCTCTTCACAAGCGAACCATTCCAAATCTCTGGTGTCACTGCATTACGGCGACATGGCGACGTTGGCTTTCTTTCTGCATCCGACACTGTTACCCTGCTGCAAAAAGATTTGCCAGGCCCATCCACAAACTTCGGAGAGAGACCGACAAGGCTTCAAGAACCTGCTTGCAATACGAACAACGACTGAAGCGTGGCGCCGAAGTCCGCGTCTCCAAGCCCTCAACTCTTCGCATGAGAGCACCTCCAGAAGGTCGTTCACTTTGCCCTCCTTCAGGAAAGCGCCTGCGCAACGGCTTTGTTGGTTTGAAGCGATCGGAGACACACTCTGAAACCAGGCTGAAAACCCTACAGCAGGCCCCAGGCCCATCATACGACCCAAGTTGGAATCGGAATAGTTCCTGAGACTCCTTGCGGGGAGAGCCGGTCGCGTCATCCTCAAGTATCCAACCTACCCCCTCATGCTCAACGTCTGAGGGCCTGGTAATGACAAATGACGACACGATGCAGCATAGTTAGATGCAGCACTGATGACGAGCAGAATGACAAAGCAAACAACATGAGTAGTAACAGGCGGGTCACACAATAGCAGCGAAAATAAGTTTGTGTCAGCGATCATGACAGCAATGAAGCGGATACCACCAATGCCCTTGCAGCTCAAATTGTTTTGGAGGCTTGCTGGAAACTCCCCCAAGCCCTTCTGTATCTTCCGTTCCATGTTGCCGCGATCATACTTCTCACAACGAACGATGTGCTCATCCGGATGGTGCTAGGTAGTCCGAACCCGACCCCTTTAGCATGATGGTTTCTCCCCCAGCCTTGGTTTTTAAGGACTAAGGCTGGAGAGTTAAATTATGTGATGAGATTTATACTGAACAATAACTTCCGGAGCAACCAGGAAGGCCTACGAACTCGTCCAGGCTGATGCTGTCCTGCATCGCCGGTGCGAGGTTGCTAGCTGCTACTGCTACTGCATCCTCTTTATGCATGACCCTCACCGATAAACCCTAGATGCCGAGGGGTCACAGTATTCTCTTCGTGTTCTTCCTGTGTAGGCCTTTTTGGCTCAGGGCTTATGGTACGTAGGGTTGAACTTCCTGATGTACATGTGTTTTGGCGAAGCTTGCAGCAGGTCCTGGACATCGATGCTTCGGGGGCGGCATCATGAGGCTGCCCCAGCCAAACGCAGTTAGTTTGTTGTAAACACTTCTCAGGTCGATGAGGATGGTGTCGGTTATACTGGCTGATAACGACTGTGAAGTGCAGAACAAGAGCGTCGTGGTGACAACGGCGACGATGAGGATATAGCAAGGGACATGAAGTGTCTTCGCCCATCAGCCATTCTTTGACGACATGTAGTGCTGACAGCAGGCTCGGGTTTAGGGTTACGATCCGGGAAGGAACGCTGTACACCTTCAAGCCTCCGAGTTCGCAGATGAAGTGTCCTGGTCTGCCCAAATTCGCGGCAGCAGCTTGTCGGCCACGGTTTGCACATGCCTGAACTCAGATGCCAAGCAAGGACCGTAGGTCGGGACAAACACGGCGCCACCAAGTACTCGAGTTATGCCCAGTCGACCTCAAGCCTCAATTCCTCGAGATGGTTCAAGCTCTATGAGCCCCCATACATAGGCCCTATGACACGAAAGAACCATCCGACATTCTCTTCGACTTCGCCAGCACCCACCACGAGAAGTCACAAAACCGAGATGCGTCTTTCCAGAGCACAGGTCGTGCACAAAGTCGGCTGCCTCCTTCGTGTGTTGTGAATTCTGGGGGGCCCTTCGTGTTTTTCAGCGACTACTGACTAGTGCGACAACGACGCCGGTGGACTAGGTACACTCTCAAGCTAAACATATATAGCTTCTGCGATGTACTCTCCTTGCTCATGCTGGTCGCTAGATCGTCTACTTCCATTTTTGCTACGAGATACAATGCCTTGCAAAGCCCTAATACGGCGACGACAAGGACACGACTGCACTCTCGATTCCCAGCTTTCGTGAAACTGAGCAGGAGTTTCCCATGCTCGCGGATTCTCCAACGACTTTAAGCCTCGCAGGAGAGACATTCAAACCCGAGTTTGGAGGGAGGCAATTACAGGTATTCGGGGCGCCTGCCCCACGCTCTTTCCACTCCGGGGTCTATAGTGTTTTACGGAAGTTCAGTCACCTCGAAACCTCAAATGCCATGCATCCTGTCGTGCCTTGTTCGTGAGCCGGACGCCGATGGCAGTCCTGTCATCACACAACAACTGCTGTCAAGGCTTTGGACGTCTTATTCAATCTTCGGAGGAAGCAGCAGAAGGTCAACCAGCGTTCCAGTTTCAGGCAGCTTCGTGTCGCAAGGATCCGAAACAAAGTGTTGAAGGGGTCCATTCCGGAGGCCACGACCCCGTCTGTCTACCGTCTGGGATGCTTGGCGGCTTGCACGTGTGGGTTCAATAACCACAGTGTGATGAACGATGAAGAATGCAGCGGCAAGCCGATGCGATGATGGTGACGATTCCTAGCTACTGTGAGCGCCGGCAATGAACACAAGCATGGCGGCAGTGAAACCGAAATGCATAAACCAAGTCACTATTGCCATCACCATCACCTTCATCACGAATTACCACCATCATCTTCACCGTCGATGCCATCGTAGTCGTTATGATGACAAGATAACGGCGCAGCTCCAACACCAGTCACTAGTCTACATTCGTCCGTGTAGCGCCTCTGTGCAGGCCGCGAAAGCACCTGCGTCTGAAGCACTGGGAGCGACTGGGGGGATCCCAAAGGCGCCGGTCAGGAAAGGTTACGAAAAGCCTTCATGTCCACAGTTCCAGGAATACGAGCAGCGCTTCTTGGAATCAACCGCAGTAGTTAGGTGAGGACATCAACACAGGGCGCACAGTGGCACACAGTCTTTCCCGTTGCCGATGTTGCAATGCGTCGTTGATATGACAACACTTGAGATTGGTCTTTGTTTCTAAGAGGAGCGGCGCAAACACCTTCGATGTTATTCACGCGGGATTAGCGGAACTAATCAGATGAGCCACTGAACAATGCTGACAACATCGACAAGACAGGTCGTACCGGAGGATCTGGATTTCACGTTGAAACTTAGAGTCGGGCTTTGAGAGCTGAGGCTCCATGGAGATAGCTCCACTTGACTCGGGTTGTTGGTCACTTTTCGGGCCCTTGTCCTTGCGACGACTCCTACACTTCACTTGGCTGATGGTAGGATCCTTCACCACTCGGCTGGAAGCAATCTTTCAATCAGGGGCAAATCCATCTAGATATTTTTGGAAAGGAAACACCGTTTCAACCATCTTACAATTTCTTTTGTCGACACCTATACTGAAGCCACGTATGAAGCCCGGTGCCCGAGCACCTGCTTGAAGAAGCCCGCCTGGGATGCTTCAAGGATCCGAGTCCCGTCACACTTCCGGGGTGTCGTGTTTCACCGTGACACGGGCACTCCAGATTTTTATGCGGGATGTGCTTGTTGCCTTCGGTAGACATGGCAACCCTGTGCCGGTCCAAAGGCCAGATTGAAAATACTCTGGCGGCCACGCACTGCATGGGACCTTCTTGCCTCCAAGATTTGGAGCTAGCTGTATACCTGCAACAGACTACCTCGTCTGCAAATTTGCACCATCTCATCCCCAGTCTTGGGTGATAATGCATCTCCAAGCGACTCTGAGCTGTATCCTCGGAATTTCAATGCGCAGGGTTTCCGAAGTCCAGATGCGGAAGTTTGGGTCCAGTTAACGTGACAATCCAAGTGTCGAGAGGGCTTTTCACTCTTGCCATTTTGGGTTTCAAAACTCGTCTTATCCTCAGGTTGCCCTCAAAAAGATGGAAGAATCAAGCAAAGCAGCGCAGGACACGCAACAGCCCCGAAACTCTGAATGCCAGGCTGGTTACACAGTTTCACACAGTCTTTGCGGCTCAGGCTCTCTTGAATCAGGGCGCTGCTAGCGGAAGCTGGATCCTGGTTCACGAAAGCCTGTCCCAGGCTTTGGCTGGATGTTTTCAAGTTCGGAGTTGGTCCCTCAGCAGGCTACTTGTTGCCCTGCTTCTCGTTGAGAGGCGCTGCCACCTCTGGTGTGGCTGCACTGCTTACGACTATGATGCTGCACGCATGTCCCTTCTCTCCCCCCCCTGCTTAGCAAGCACGAGTTCAGCGGTTCCTTCGGCGTTTAGAGACTCAAGGAACGGGCACAGCAAAGACATTCATTGACATTATGAAGCCAGTCTCCTACACAGTGAACTTTTCAGCTGACTGTTGGTCTTGACGGTGGTTCTTGCATCAGCACCAATGCCCACGCCTACCCTGTCCCACTCACTCAGTCCAGGCGTGTGTGCTGGTGCTCTTGAAACTACAAAGTCGTTGTGCGGTGAAGCTTGACATGGAGGTTGCGAAGCTCTTTGCCTTCGGAACATATCTGAACCACTTCGTCGACGGTCATGTCGAAAACTTGATGGAGAGTCGTGTGTCGAGTCTGTTTCCGAGGTTTACCGTCAGACCGTCCCACCTCTCTTAGCAGCACGTACTCGTTCTTGTTGATCCGGGCCGTGCTGTCGATGTCGCTCGCGAAGAACATGGCCTTGTCACGCGGGAATGCTCGGGACCACAAGCAGGCTACGTGGCACAGCTTCTGAAAGTTGATCGATGTAGGGGGCTCTGACGACCGTCACCTTTTCTGAGTTGCTGACTTCGGCTGCTGTAACTCTGAAAGGTATCTCCTGTTGTTTGATCTAGGCCCTAGGCTCGTCACCTCAAGACTGCAGCGCAGAAGTGCCAGGCCGATGTGTCCATATCCGTTCAGGCCGAAGCTCTGCAAGAGTTCTCCTTCCCAGATTCTGCCCTTGGGGGATCCATGGCCGGCACTCATGCTCGATCTTCTCTTCGAAAATGGGCGGCTCTGCTGTTCAGAAGTGCTTGTTTCCAGTTCCCTCCACTTCGCGTGCTAGTCGCCCTGCTACTACTATCTGAGCCGAAGCTTCGCAGTCAAAGCCTGCTTTGCCACGGCTCCTGCCTGCACCGGCTTGCTGACCAAGCACCGTGGCACAACGCTCATCACGGACTCTCAGCGAAAACGTAGAGCTCCGCACCGAAACTCATAAGACCTTTTACAGCTAAGACCTAAAACGCCCAGCACGTAAGATAAGCCCAACACATCCACCCAGGAGCCAGCCGTGAGCTTGGACAGGTCCAGGACCGGAGTCTCCAAGAATAGGATGTTACAGATAATCAGATGCCATGGTGCAACTACCAACAGATACTGAGCATAAGGAACAGAACTAGGTGGTATGGACAATTCCACTACTACCGCTGCACCCACGGCGGCCACGGTGCGGAACACGAGCACCACTACTGTTACGACCACATCACTGCGACAGCGAGGCTACGCCTGCCGTTACTGCCGCTGCTGCTGCCGCCACTTCTTGCCAGTGCACTGCCTAAAACCACGACGACGATGACCACCACCAGCAGTTTTGACAAACAGCATTCTCAGCAACATCAGAGTAGGGGTTACTGACAGAAAAGACAGCACGACGATGCTTTTTGTTCGGCCAGGTCGCACGGGCGGCCAGGCGGCTGAACCCCCAGTGTTGAGCCGCTGCTCCCACGAAGGTCTCCTGAACGCAGGGATTGACGGACTTTGGGAAAGCCTCCGCCTAGGGAACTCGAAAGCACGGGAGAACACTATGGTTGTGGCTGCAAAAAGAAGAAGGATAAGGACAGGAAGCCAGAATGCCGAGCCAAGAGCGAAAGGCTATGACAAGCACACAAAGTGCTGTGCCAATAGGTATGAACAATAGCAGTTTGGGAACACAAAAAAGACGAGTCATGATGCGAAGACAATCAGAATGTCATAATGACATTTAATCATGCCGCAGCCGTGCCATGCTGGAGGACTTTTGAGGGCACTGTTCATGGTTCCGGCGGGAACTGCTCAGAAGCTCTTGTCTTGGACACATGGCATATGGCCGGGACGTAGCGGTGCCAAATGGGACGGTCGAAAGAATGCCAATCCAAAGCTTTCCCTTGCCACGGGCATCCTGATCCCTGGCTGAAGACCAGATGTAAACAAGACTGCAACCGCTGCTGTTGAAAATTTTCGCAGGACTCCCAGAAAGAGTTATGTGGAGTAAGGGCATAATTTTTTATAGATTCGGGTGTTGAGAACCTGTCCCTAGCCCCTGCCGCCCCAAGACGACGCGCTATCCAAGACATAGGCACCGGAAACCGGACCGGCCCTGTTGCCTCCGTCATGAGCTCCTTGGATGCACTTGCAGGGCTGGAACCGCTTCAAGCTTAAGCCGTGAGCGCTTTCGAGAATTCTTTTTGATGGGTTGGAGGCGAAACCGTGCCAAGCTCGTGAGTGCGTGCCTGCGTGGGTGGGTGCGTTGGTGGGTGGACGGATGGATGCATGGATGGGTGGATGGATGGATGGGTGGATAGATGGATGGATGCATGCGTCTTCGCATGTATCATGTGCGCGAATGCTGTGAGTCAACGTTTGAGCAGTAACCACAGACCTCCCCAACTCTTCCTCCGGAACTTTGCTAGCAAAACACCCAAAACCTCAGCATCCCTAAACGCGCGCACACGCTGCGCGCTTGAAATCCTTAGCCCTAACCGTCGTTGCAGTGCCAGGTGCTCCATCCTGTGCGGACCATTGAATTCCTGACAGCAAGCTAGGGCTCCGGGGGGGGAGGTTTGGGATTGGGATGGTTCAGGGCGAAGGGGGCTTAAAGGGTTGAGGGTGTGGGGCGGGAGGTTCCGGCGTTTTGGGATTTTTGCTGCAGTGTTTGAAGTCGAGGGCCCGGTCGGATGTCTTGGGGGGCCAGGGTGTGCCAAAACCCATAAGCCTGCAAACTCACGATACTCGAAGCCCCCAAACTCTACGGCCCTGAACCGATTCTGTGTGTCTTCCCTCTTCTTCATCATTCCCAAGCAGAATCCCCACGCCCCCCTTCTTGCGACGATCATTATACTCATGATGATAACAATAGCAATAGTAAGGCAGCAGCAGTAGCAGTGGTGATCATGAAACATAGTCATGGTCAGAGTGATAGTGATATTCATCATTATTCATCATTGTCCGTTGCAGTCATAGGTATCACGATTGCACCAGCGAAACATACTACAGCTGTTACCACAGTTGCCACTGTTCCTGGTATTCTCAGCCCTGCGTTCCGAGATGCTGTCGAACTCCAAGTCGGACTCGTCTCTCCGATCTTGCCTTGGCTTCGGGCTTCCGGGGTGTGGGGTGTCGGGCTAAGGGCTTAGGCTCTGGGGGTCTAGGGTTCCTAGAGGCCTCTGGGGGCTCACAGGGCTGACTGGGCTTCGGGTTCATAAGGCCCGAAGGGTTCAAAACTTTCGGTACTTGTACGTTTGCGAGTTCAAGGCTTGTCGGGCTTTGGGCCCTTGGGGTTGCAGGGCATGAGCTTCGGGAGTCGGCGTCCTATGTTGGGACCCTATGTTAGCAATTCAGGCAAGCAGAGCTCGAGCACCGCCGCCATGCGCTTTGTGGCTGCAGAAAGGTAAGGCCAACAATGACTTTCGACAAAGACCGTAAGGATAAGCATCCTCACATCCAACTGCAGAATCAGAATTATGATTATGCCTCATCCTGACGTAGCAGAATTACGCCAAAGGAGCCCAAGACTTGCACCGACCTTGGCAACTGCCCCTTTTTGACCCCGCATCTAGACTTAGATCCTGGAATGCCCGGCAAAGGCCCATACTCACAATCTCACGGATGATGTATTCTTGGCCACACGCATCCCCAAGCCCAGGTGCCGGAGCTAGAAGGGTATCTTCAAGACCCTGGCTCTTGCTGAACTGCCTAACTTTTTTCTCGATCGTAGCTGCTTCGGCGCTTTCGCAACCTGCGATTTCATATTCTAAAACTGATTGCCCTCACTGCTCTGTTAACGGTGACTCTGCTTAGACATGCGATTTTGAATATTTTATGCTACCTTCGTTGGCTTCGGGCCCGGGTCGCCAAGCCCATCTTGAACGAGCGGAGCCCCCTCCACCCCTCTACCCCACCCCTTCTCACCCTCCATGCTTTTCTTTCGGCCCGACCTTTCACCGGGTGGAGGGGTGGAAGGGCGGAGGGGTGGTGGAGGGGTCGATGGAGGGTCTCTACGATTCAAACTGGGCCGCGCCCCTCTACTTATTTAATTTCTTCACCGTAAGCTCTGGTTGTACGAGTGTACGACGGGCGAATGCAGCCAGGCCACCGCGAGGAGGTCAGGCCTGGGCTGCAGGCCAACGGGGTCTCTGCAAACACAGACGCATCGTGAGAATGTGGGACCCTGTCCCTTCAAACTGCTGAGATTGAATAAGAGTTGCTGATGTGCTTCCTACGGCGTCCCAAACATGAACAGCGCGTTCTCATCACGTTGACACCAAGGGGCCCAGCTCATCAAACACCCCCTTCAAACTTCCGTGACTGGCGCTGCCGAGACCGCCCGTGGCCACCTCCTGTCGTCGACAAGTCAGGAGCGAAGATTTGAAGGGCTCCTTTAAGGGTTATACCAGGGTTCCCTTTCAGAGCACGGTAGGGTTCCATATAAAAAGGTTCCTTTTCAAGGTTATAAGGGTTAGAGGTTTATAGTCTGCAGGTTCCGAGGGCCCCAGTCAGTCTGCGTAGTGCCAAGCCAGGTCCCGATCTTAAACTTCGGCTCTGGGGAGCCTGAACAAGTGAGTCGGTAACCCCAAACCATGGCTCTTAAATATGGCCTCTTGCCTGCTCCCTCCACCTCCCAAACAGGCAATAGTTCAAAAGCAGAAGAGCCCTTCCTCACTCCAAAAACAAAAGCACTTGCTCTCAAATGGAGACCTGAAGCTCTGGCTACGAAGTCGCTTTGATTTTGGCCGAGTTGAGCCCCTTCACAGATTCCCAAGACCCAGGTACCGAAGCATCGCGAGGGTGTCGTTCTCAAGTCAGGGTGTTTAGGGGGAGGGTGACCGAGCGATTAAGCCTTACAGGCAACATTACAAACAACAGTCTAGCTATCCATACTGCGGTACAAGTAGTCGCCAAATGAGGATGCATCAGTTCTGTGCTAAGGATCTCGGCAAACTCCACGTCCTATCGCGACACTACCAAGAGACATAAGCAACCACAAGGCATTATCTATGTGGAAACCGTGGCTATGAACGCCTCCTTCAACGATACACAAGCATGCCTATGAAGACCTGCAAAATGTGTTGCCAGGCCGAGCCGAGTCAGCCATCTAGAGCATTTCACGAAGCCGAAGGACTGACAGGGAAAGTCAACGTAACTTGCGGAATCTCCGCACGCGGAAAAGCCCACCCTCAAGGCACCTCCACCGAGCTGAAAGGCACCTTGGAGAGTTGGAAGGTCGGTCTCCCTCTCTCCCGTCCCTCTCTGTACTTGGCAGGATGTCATGGTATGGAGACTCCGAGGACGGCCCCGCATTCCCTACAGTCAGAGCTTGGGAGACTTCGCGGCCATCAGGGCACCGTGGTTGTCGTTCATGCACTTTCGAAGCAGAGGAACGATATCTCATTCATGCGGCATTTCGGCAAATTGCAGAACCCCAGAACCAAAGCTCTAGA